CCAAAGGAAAAACGATTACAGAAAAAATGAAAGTTTCCTATAGGCCACATAGAGCGAAAATGCCAAGACCTAACTTTGCCAAATGGGGTTATTTTGCTCCAGTGTTGGGCCTTTTCCTTCTCGGTAGACCACCAGCACTCGGGAGAACACACCAAACCAAAGGAAAAACGATTACAGAAAAAATGGAAGTTGCCTATAGGCCACATAGAGCGAAAACGCCAAGACCTAACTTTGCCAAATGGGGTTATTTTGCCCAAGTGTTGTGCCTTTTCCTGCTCGGTAGACCGCCAGCACTCGGGAGAATACACCAAACCAAAGGAAAAACGATTACAGAAAAAATGGAGGTTTCCTATAGGCCATATAGAGCGAAAATGCCAAGACCTAACTTTGCCAAATGGGGTTATTTTGCCGAAGTGTTGGGCCTTTTCCTGCTCGGTAGACGGCCAGCACTCGGTAGAACACACTAAACCAACGGAAAAACGATTACAGAAAAAACTGGAAGTTTCCTATAGGCCACAATGCCAAGACCTAACTTTGCCAAATGGGGTTATTTTGCCCAAGTGTTGGGCCTTTTCCTGCTCGGTAGACCGCCAGCACTCGGAAGATCACACCAAACCAAGGGAAAAACGATTACAGAAGAAATGGAGTTTTCCTATAGGCCACATAGAGCGAAAATGCCAAGAACTAACTTTACCAAATGGGGTTATTTTGCTCCAGTGTTGGGCCTTTTCCTGCTCGGTAGACCACCAGCACTCGGTAGAACACACCAAACCAAAGGAAAAACGATTACAGAAAAAATGGAAGTTGCCTATAGGCCACATAGAGCGAAAATGCCAAGACCTAACTTTGCCAAATGGGGTTATTTTGCCCAAGTGTTCTGCCTTTTCCTGCTCGGTAGACCGCCAGCACTCGGGAGAATACACCAAACCAAAGGAAAAACGATTACAGAAAAAATAGAGGTTTCCTATAGGCCACATAGAGCGAAAATGCCAAGACCTAACTTTGCCAAATGGGGTTATTTTGCCCAAGTGTTGTGCCTTTTCCTGCTCGCTAGACCGCCAGCACTCGGGAGAACACACCAAACCAACGGAAAAACGATTACAGAAAAAAATGGAAGTTTCCTATAGGCCATATAGAGCGAAAATGCCAAGACCTAACTTTGCCAAATGGGGTTATTTTGCCCAAGTGTTGGACCTTTTCCTGCTCGGTAGACGGCCAGCACTCGGTAGAACACACTAAACCAACGGAAAAACGATTCCAGAAAAAACTGGAAGTTTCCTATAGGCCACAATGCCAAGACCTAACTTTGCCAAATGGGGTTATTTTGCCCAAGTGTTGGGCCTTTTCCTGCTCGGTAGACCGCCAGCACTCGGAAGAACACACCAAACCAAAGGAAAAACGATTACAGAAGAAATGGAGGTTTCCTATAGGCCACATAGAGCGAAAATGCCAAGACCTAACTTTGCCAAATGGGGTTATTTTGCCCAAGTGTTGGGCCTTTTCCTGCTCGGTAGACCGCCAGCACTCGGGAGAACACACCAAACCAAAGGAAAAACGATTACAAAAAAAATGAAAGTTTCCTATAGGCCACATAGAGCGAAAATGCCAAGACCTAACTTTGCGAAATGGGGTTATTTTGCTCCAGTGTTGGGCCTTTTCCTGCTCGGTAGACCACCAGCACTCGGTAGAACACACCAAAACAAAGGAAAAACGATTACAGAAAAAATGGAAGTTGCCTATAGGCCACATAGAGCGAAAATGCCAAGACCTAACTTTGCCAAATGGGGTTATTTTGCCCAAGTGTTGGGCATTTTCCTGCTCGGTAGACGGCCAGCACTCGGTAGAACTCACTAAACCAACGGAAAAACGATTACAGAAAAAACTGGAAGTTTCCTATAGGCCACAATGCCAAGACCTAACTTTGCCAAATGGGGTTATTTTGCCCAAGTGTTGGGCCTTTTCCTGCTCGGTAGACGGCCAGCAATCGGTAGAACACACCAAACCAACGGAAAAACGATTACAGAAAAAACTGGAAGTTTCCTATAGGCCACAATGCCAAGACCTAACTTTGCCAAATGGGGTTATTTTGCCCAAGTGTTGTGCCTTTTCCTGCTTGGTAGACGGCCAGCACTCGGTAGAACACACCAAACCAAAGAAAAAACGATTACAAAAAAAAATGGAAGTTCCCTATAGGCCACATATAGCGAAAATGCCAAGACCTGAATTTGACAAATAGGGTTATTTTGCCCAAGTGTTGGGCCTTTTCCTGCTCGGTAGACCGCCAGCACTCGGGAGAACACACCAAACCAACGAAAAAACGATTACAGAAAAAAATGAAAGTTTCCTATAGGCCATATAGAGCGAAAATGCCAAGACCTAACTTTGACAAATGGGGTTATTTTGCCCAAGTGTTGGGCCTTTTCCTGCTCGATAGACGGCCAGCACTCGGTAGAACACACCAAACCAACGGAAAAACGATTACAGAAAAAACTGGAAGTTTCCTATAGGCCACAATGCCAAGACCTAACTTTGCCAAATGGGGTTATTTTGCCCAAGTGTTGGGCCTTTTCCTGCTCGGTAGACCGCCAGCACTCGGGAGAACACACCAAACCAAAGGAAAAACGATTACAGAAAAAATGGAAGTTGCCTATAGGCCACATAGAGCGAAAATGCTAAGACCTAACTTTGCCAAATGGAGTTATTTTGCCCAAGTGTTGGGCCTTTTCCTGCTCGGTAGACCACCAGCACTCGGTAGAACACACCAAACCAACGGGAAAACGATTACAGAAAAAAATGGAAGTTTCCTATAGGCCACATAGAGCGAAAATGCCAAGACTTAACTTTTCCAAATGGGGTTATTTTGCCCAAGTGTTGAGCCTTTTCCTGCTCTGTAGACCGCCAGCACTCGGGAGAACACACCAAACCAAAGGAAAAACGATAACAGAAGAAAATGGAAGTTTCCTATAGGCCACATTGAGCGAAAATGTCAAGACCTAACTTTGCCAAATGGGTTTATTTTGCCCAATTGTTGGGCCGTTTACTGCTCGGTAGACCGCCAGCATTCGGTAGAACACACCAAACCAAAGGAAAAACGATTACAGAAAAAAATGGAAGTTTCCTAAAGGCCACACAGAGCGAAAATGCCAAGACCTAACTTTGCCAAATGGGGTTATTTTGCCCAAGTGTTGGGCATTTTCCTGCTCGGTAGACCGCCAGCTCCTGGGAGTACACACCAAACCAAAGGAAAAACGATTACAGAAAGAATTGGAAGTTTCCCATAGGCCAAATAGAGCGAAATTGCCAAGACCTATCTTTGCCAAATGGGGTTATTTTGCCCTAGTGTTGGGCCTTTTCCTGCTCGGTAGACCGTCAGCACTTGTGAGTACACACCAAACCAAAGGAAAAACGATTACAGAAAGAATTTGAAGTTTCCCATAGGCCACATATAGCGAAAATGCCAAGACCTAACTTTGCGAAATGGGGTTATTTTGCTCCAGTGTTGGGCCTTTTCCTGCTCGGTAGACCACCAGCACTCGGTAGAACACACCAAAACAAAGGAAAAACGATTACAGAAAAAATGGAAGTTGCCTATAGGCCACATAGAGCGAAAATGCCAAGACCTAACTTTGCCAAATGGAGTTATTTTGCCCAAGTGTTGGGCCTTTTCCTGCTCGGTAGACCACCAGCACTCGGTAGAACACACCAAACCAACGGGAAAACGATTACAGAAAAAAATGGAAGTTTCCTATAGGCCACATAGAGCGAAAATGCCAAGACTTAACTTTGCCAAATGGGGTGATTTTGCCCAAGTGTTGGGCCTTTTCCTGCTCGGTAGACCACCAGCACTCGGTAGAACACACCAAACCAACGGGAAAACGATTACAGAAAAAAATGGAAGTTTCCTATAGGCTACATAGAGCGAAAATGCCAAGACCTAACTTTGCCAAATGGGGTTATTTTGCCCAAGTGTTGGGCCTTTTCCTGCTCGGTAGACCACCAGCACTCGGTAGAACACACCAAACCAACGGGAAAACGATTACAGAAAAAAATGGAAGTTTCCTATAGGCCACATAGAGCGAAAATGCCAAGACTTAACTTTGCCAAATGGGGTTATTTTGCCCAAGTGTTGAGCCTTTTCCTGCTCTGTAGACCGCCAGCACTCGGGAGAACACACCAAACCAAAGGAAAAACGATAACAGAAGAAAATGGAAGTTTCCTATAGGCCACATTGAGCGAAAATGTCAAGACCTAACTTTGCCAAATGGGTTTATTTTGCCCAATTGTTGGGCCGTTTCCTGCTCGGTAGACCGCCAGCATTCGGTAGAACACACCAAACCAAAGGAAAAACGATTACAGAAAAAAATGGAAGTTTCCTAAAGGCCACACAGAGCGAAAATGCCAAGACCTAACTTTGCCAAATGGGGTTATTTTGCCCAAGTGTTGGGCATTTTCCTGCTCGGTAGACCGCCAGCTCCTGGGAGTACACACCAAACCAAAGGAAAAACGATTACAGAAAGAATTTGAAGTTTCCCATAGGCCAAATAGAGCGAAATTGCCAAGACCTATCTTTGCCAAATGGGGTTATTTTGCCCAAGTGTTGGGCCTTTTCCTGCTCGGTAGACCGTCAGCACTCGGTAGAAGACACAAAACCAACGGAAAAACGATTACAGAAAAAATGAAAGTTTCCTATAAGCCACATAGAGCGAAAATGCCAAGACTTAACTTTGCCAAATGGGGTTATTTTACCCAAGTGTTGGGCCTTTTCCTGCTCTGTAGACCGCCAGCACTCGGGAGAACACACCAAACCAAAGGAAAAACGATTACAGAAAAAGATGGAAGTTTCCTATAGGCCACATAGGGCGAAAATGCCAAGAACTAACTTTGCCAAATGGGGTTATTTTGCCCAAGTGTTGGACATTTTCCTGGTCGGTAGACCGCCAGCACTTGGGAGTACACACCAAACCAAAGGAAAAACGATTACAGAAAGAATTTGAAGTTTCCCATAGGCCACATAGAGCGAAAATGCCAAGACCTAACTTTGCCAAATGGGGTTATTTTACCCAAGTGTTGGGCCTTTTCCTGCTCTGTAGACCGCCAGCACTCGGGAGAACACACCAAACCAAAGGAAAAACGATTACAGAAAAAAATGTAAGTTTCCTATAGGCCACATAGAGCGAAAATGCCAAGACCTAACTTTGCCAAATGGGGTTATTTTGCCCAAGTGTTGGGCCTTTTCTTGCTCGCTAGACCGCCAACACTCGGTAGAACACACCAAACCAAAGGAAAAACGATTAGAGAAGAAAATGGAGGTTTTCTATAGGCCACATTGAGCGAAAATATCAAGACCTAACTTTCCCAAATGGGTTTATTTTGCCCAATTGTTGGGCCTTTTCCTGCTCGGTAGACCGCCAGCATTCGGTAGAACACACCAAACCAAAGGAAAAACGATTACAGAAAAATGGAAGTTCCCTATAGGCCACATATAGCGAAAATGCCAAGACCTAACTTTGCCAAATGGAGTTATTTTGCCCAAGTGTTGGGCCTTTTCCTGCTCGGTAGACCACCAGCACTCGGTAGAACACACCAAACCAACGGGAAAACGATTACAGAAAAAAATGGAAGTTTCCTATAGGCCACATAGAGCGAAAATGCCAAGACTTAACTTTGCCAAATGGGGTGATTTTGCCCAAGTGTTGGGCCTTTTCCTGCTCGGTAGACCACCAGTACTCGGTAGAACACACCAAACCCACGGGAAAACGATTACAGAAAAAAATGGAAGTTTCCTATAGGCTACATAGAGCGAAAATGCCAAGACCTAACTTTGCCAAATGGGGTTATTTTGCCCAAGTGTGGGGCCTTTTCCTGCTCGGTAGACCGCCAGCACTCGGTAGAACACACCAAACCAACGGGAAAACGATTACAGAAAAAAATGGAAGTTTCCTATAGGCCACATAGAGCGAAAATGCCAAGACTTAACTTTTCCAAATGGGGTTATTTTGCCCA